GCTCAAATGTAAAGAGGAAGAAGAGGAAGTGTCCATCAAACAAGAGGAGAATGACATTATTGCTGTGATTGTTAACAGTGAAGAAGAATTGGATTCTCAGTTTTTACAGCTTCATCAGAGTCAGGCTGAGGAGAACAGAAAGGACTCTGGTTTAAACCGGTGTTTAAGACCATGGGTTGAGGATGAAAGCGACGAATCGTCTGAGACTGAAGATAGTGAAGATGATTGGAAGGAGACCACAGAAGGATCAACTCCGAAGACGGTAAAGCACAAAAGAGCATCCATCAATGTCAACAATGGTAAGAAACTGGTCTGCATAGAGTTTTCAGCTTAAAAGGTCACGATGAATCTACCAGGTTGATTGACACTGCATATCATCAACATATCTGAATGTTTGAATTTCCAGACATTAATCCTTAAAGCCAAAAAAATTCAGATTATTATTAATTTTAATTACAGTAGTGCCTTTCTATATCATTGTTCTTTTTTCCACTCCCTCAGTACATCACAGATTTTTTTTTTTATTCCAATCTGGCGACAGTTTCGCTATAGCGCGGTATTTTAGGGTAATTTTTTTTAAAATTCCCAATATTCTTATTATTTTTGTGATTAAAAAAACATTTTCGAAGCTAAAAAAAAAACATCGCTGGTAGCTGTTTGCCTAGGGGAGATCGAACACAGAATTGAGCATACTCTTCTGTTCATCACCCTTGGCTCATGCATCATAGCATCTCTCAGCAACTCCCCTTGTTCACTTTGCGTTGCGCCATTATACATATAGGATGATGCTGTAAAGTTTGTGCTCAAACGAAAACGCTGACACAGATGACAGTTAACAGCCTTTATTTTTTTAACAACATGTGGGCTGCTGTGCTGTGCCTGGCTTTTCCTTTATTTTTCTTTACAGTAATGTGCGATTACCTATGTCCGAGGCTGCACCTACGATGCCACTCCTGTGCTCTCCCTCCTGCAAATCTAATCTAAGATATACGGTCCGTCCATCTTGGCCAGTATGCCGACCGCTGTTCACTCTCTTCTCTCCTTGGTCCCGGCTCCTACAACTGTAAGGAGATGCTTGATTACTCCCTTTGTGCTCACCTGCGTCTACGGCTGCACCGTCGCCACTCCTGTGCTCTCCCTACAAAATAATCCACAGGTCTCCAAACAAATCAGCAATAAAAAGAAGTGTTGATCATCCCAGGTGTTGAAGTTTATTTATTTCCATAATTTCACTCAAAAGTTAAACTTTCATAGATTATAGATTCAGGGCCCACAATTTAAACGATTTCAAGTATTTGTTTGTTTGTTTTTACATAATTTGGGCTTCCAGCTCATGAAACCCACAAACACAGGAATTCAAAAAATTAGAATACTGTGGAGAAATCAGCCCAAATTTTGTGGGTCATGAATGTTTTAAACTGAGTGTCACACACTAAGCAATCATCTACTAAACTCAAAGCACCTGCACAGGTTTCAGGTGTCATTAAATTGCTTCAGTTTGGTTCAATTGTCTCAGTTCAGTTCAATACGAGGAAGACTGCAGACTTGACAACTGTCCAGAAGATTATCATTGATACCCTCCATAGGATGGGTAAGCCACAAAAGTTCATAGCTAAAGTTGTTGTTGTTCACAGAGTGTTGTGTTGACCGTTGGCTTCAGCGGATTATCAAACAGAGAAGGTTCAAGAATCTGGCAATGAGGCAGGAGTCACAGCTTCAAAAACCACCACATTGAGACGCATCTGGGAAATGGGCTACAACCGTCGGGTTCCTCTGGTCAAGCCACTTCTGAGCCTGAGCCAATGTAGGAAGCGTCTCAACTGGGCCAAGGAGAAGAAGGACTGGACTGTTGGCCAGTGGTCCACAGTCTTCTTTTCTGATGAAAGTAAAGTGTGCCTTTCATTTGAGAATCAAGGTCCAAGGGTTTTGAGGAAGATGGGTGAGGAACAGTACCCTTGCTGCTTGAGGTCCAGTGTGAAATGTCCACAGTCAGTCATGATTTGGGGTGCAATGTCCAGTGCAGGTGTTGGTAAATTCCGCTTTCTTAAATCCAAGGTCACCGCAACAGTCTACCAGAATGTTTCAGCGGACTTAATGATTCCTTCTGCTAAAGATCTGTACGGAGGTGCAGAGTTCATATTCCAGGAGGACCTGGCCCCTGCCCATACTGCCAGAAGCACCAAAACCTGGTTTGATGCCCATGTCATGACAGTGCCTGAGTGGCCAGCCAACTCGCTGGACCTAAACCCCATTGAAAATCTATGGGGTATTATCAAGAGGAAAATGAGGGGCACCAGACCCAAAAACAAAGAAGAGCTGACAGCAAGCATTAAGGAAACCTGGGCTTTTATTTAACTCCCAGGAAATGCCACAGGCTGATTGCATCAATGCCATGGTGCATCGAGACAGTGATTAAGGCAAAGGGATTCCCAACCAAATACTGAAGATTGACATATTGTTTTTAAAATACCATACTGGTTGATTGATTTGATGTAATACCAATTTCTTTTTTTTTTCTCTGCAGAAACAGAAGTAAATGGTGATTTCTCCACAGTATTTTCATTTTTTGAATTCCTGTTTTGTGGGTTGTAGAAATAAACCAGCCACTAGGGGACACAAACACGCGTTTTACAGACATGGT